TCCAGTTTGCTTTGTTTTTAATTTATCAATGCGTTCTTTTTCCGCCTTTTTCATTAGGTTGCTCAGAAAAGAAATGTTGCAGTTGCTGCATACAAATTTGACCAATGTCCCCGTTTTAGCAATTAGTGTAACTTGGGGGGGATTATCTCTATAAGGATAGTAATAGGGATATAACCGGGGGTCGGGGTAAGGATATAAACGGGGTACGAGTGTACATATACATAGCAGACTCGATAAGTCGGTTTTTGCCTAACTCGGTCAAAAATATTAAGCCCTTTTTTCAATATTTAAAATCTCTCGATAAGCTGTAAGTCGGTCAACCTCCTTTACTGCTATATTACTATGTAAATTACCCTCTATAAGTCAATCTCACGTGATTCTAAGAGAATATTATTACTATTTCGGTACAGTCTATCGTATAAAAAAATTTTTTACTTTGATTTTATTCGAGCCTTGTGTAATACAAATCACCTGATAGTTTCGTTTAAAGTATTTTACCATGATACATTAAAATTTCACGTTCACATGATTATTTCTATATTAGTATATAAATTTAAGTTTACCAAAAAATTTAGTATAAATTAAATTTTGCTTCTATAATTTCACCCACTGCAGTCATGTGAACGTGAAATTTTCATGGTGACGCTGGAGTAGTTGTTTAAAGTAGGAAAAAAAAAATTAAAAACACTCACTAATCTTAAAAAAAAAGAAGAGCTCCGTGAGTACCAACAATTTATTTGTTTCAGACTTAAGACACTTAAAGCGGAAATCGAATGAATTATTCAAGCATGGATATTTATTTAGAATAATAATTTTCCCATTCGCTTGCTATTACTAAATTAGTCACGTAAATTTGATAAGTCGGCCCACCGAGCCAGTCATTTGAGACCGACTTATCGAGTCTGCCTATGTATATAGAGTTACCCGTATATGGAAAGTTACAATTATAACGGTTCGACTGAATATGAAAAGCAATGCGTTTCTTGGAATTAGACTGCAATTGTGGTTGTTCGAAAATGATTCCGAGAGAAAAATTTGCCGAGTTACGTGAAGCGTTTCAAGCTTTCTCTAGATCTGAACAAAACATATTTTGATGGTCCAACTGGAAGCGATGAATGATGGAGAAACTTTGCCAGCCGTTGTCTTTAAAAGAAAACACGTACTAATAATCCTGTTATGGTTTATGTATTAATGTATATTCATTATATTCTGGTATAATAAAGTGAGCATTAAATTTAACAAGTCCATAAGTTATGAATGAGCACCATCAAAACAGTCACACTGATCAAATTTTACAGCCACATAATCAGCCTCTCATTTATGTCACATAATAGAATGTTCACTTTGTCTGGTTTTGTTGCAGTCTGCCCCACATATAATAATTTGACTATTATTATACGATTTTTCATCCTAGCTCACATAGCAAATGTTCACTTCGTTTGGTTTTGCACCATATTATATATTCAATTTTATACAAATCTGGATTTAAGAATTTTTCTCTCATAATTTAGTTAACTTCACATTCAGTAAACTTGTTACAATAAAAATTCTTGTTTACAGAGGCAGCGACCAGCAGGCCAGCAAGAGTATTCCCTCCCCTTTCTAAAATTAACAGGTAGAATAAAGTTCTATTTTTCTATACTATACTAATACACTCATATCAATCTTCAGCACTTGATAAAGATGAACTGCTAGCACTACTACTATTCCCATCATCAGCCTGATTATTCTCGTCATCCTCCCCCAAGTAACTCCCAAGAGATATCGGCCCTTCACGAGGCTTTCCTGAATTTTTCTATACAAAAGTGAGGAAGAATGTCAATATACATTAATAATCATAATTCAATTTCTTGACAAAAATTCTGAACGTAGGTTTTATATATAAGCACAGTACTTACTGAACTCTCAGACCGTTTTGCATTTTCTATAACTCGTTGATTGACAGACTTATTTCCAGTGGTACGACTACTTGATTTTTCCTTAATCCCAGTTTCTTCTTTGTTCTTGTGGTTGATCTTGCTTTCATTCTCCAGAACTTCAGCCAGGATATTAGCTAGATCTTCTTCTGAATCATCGTCCGAATCGTCAGAGGCTGACTCGTCACTTGAAGTACTACCGGCAGACAAGGTAGAGTCGTCTTCATCTTCCTCCCCACTCGTCCTATCTCTCTGTCGTAGCTCATTAGCCCTGAAAGGATGTTCAACTTCTTCTAATTCGTCTTCGATGTAGACATCCTTAAATTCATCTCCGTTCTCAATGGGCACATCTTCTTTCTTAATCAGATTATTCTCCCCTGCCTTAACGACTTCGTCTTCGTCGTCAGATGAATCCAAGTTGTCCATTTCCCTGTCGAATGCCTCAGCTATTTGACGATAATTCGAATCATGTTGAGGCGAGTTGCGATCTTGAGGCGATGGAAGTTCGCTCTGGTCTTGATGTTTAAAAGCGATGGTTTTGTCAAGAAGTTCAAGGGTCCAGTTCTGGAAGCAATATGACGTCGATGTGTCGGAGAAAGCATTAAAAGAGAAAAAAAAAAGTACTGTAACATAAATACAAGCATCAGTCCCCTCACAATAATATACCTGCGTCTTTTCATCGAATATCAGAATAGCTTGTCGTCCCGCTTCTTTTGGTAATTCTTCGTTATTTACCTTACCAGTCAGTATATGTTTATCTGCAGATTTCTATCCGAACAACGATGGGCGCGTTAATAATTTTAGAAAATATGATATTAAAACAACATCATACAGAGCAAAAACCGACCGTCAAGCTTTCATACTCGGCACGATATGTACCACCATCATCATAATGTAATTTGCCCGTCCGTTTGAAATTTATATCGTTCAACTTGTATTCGCCGACTATATGTATATGTATGTGTATTTGTTTTCGAGTCAAAAAAAAATATATTGGGTTAGTCGGTTTTACTCAAAAAGCCTAATTGCGAATTATTTATATAATGTGCCTTATTCAGTTTTAAAATATCTCTACAGACGCTTTCATATTCTCTTATTCCATTCCATTCCAACTCCATATCATTTTATTTGACCCATACGATGAAACCTATAGTAAGCGCTATTTGTCTTCTCGCTAGCGAAAGTGGCACCAAGTATTAGAGGTCGTTCGCCCTCAAAAGCTGCAGTTATGTCGTGTATTTCCGCTTGTTCGGAACTCATAATTTGTTGTATGTGTAAAGAGGGAATACCTCTCGCATACTAACTAATATCTAGGAACTTGTATTCATTGCTTGCCAATCAGAGTTGTAATTATTGAATCACATGCCTAAAACGTAATGTTTTAAATGTATCACGTGTATATAAGCATGCAAACAACTTTTACTTTTTACTTTTAGACTTTGATATTACAACTTGTACAAATTACTATTCACACTTTCTTTCATAAATCATTTTATTCATATCATCTAATCCGAAAGCAGATAGATTAGGATTTATGTTTCACTATACGCTGCAAGTTGGCCAGTACTCTCGTAATATGCAAGGATCTTGGCTGACGATTTGGCATCATAGAACAAAGTTTTAGTTTGAGTAATATCATCCAAAGAAATATTCTCGCGTCCATTTGTTCGAGCAAGTATGCTTGCCGGAGTGAGAAGCTGAATGACATATCTACAGAACAATGACGGATATTATCGGGCAATTAGTCCAAATCGATGACTGAACAGGCATTAGAAACATCTTTTCTTCATACCGCAATGATGTTTGTGCGCCGCATTCAGCCATGAATTCTAATGCTTCATTAGCTAATATCAGTCCTTCTGTCTTGGCACGTATTTGTACTATCGCCTTGATTTCTTCTGGCGTATATGGTTTGGTTCTTATAATGAGAATGCGGTCGAGTAGATCAACTGGGATACCATGTGGCGCTCGAATATCCTCGGTTCCCCTAATATATTATTAGATAAAAGAAATAATAAAACGATTTAGTAATCTTGACTTTATTACTCTAACTAGCAATTTTCCGACTTGCCTCACTTGACACATTCCGCGGTTAGTAGCGAAAATCACAATAGGCGAGAATTGCGATTCAAGAGCTTTATTAAGATATGTAAAGCACTCAATGTCCAACAAATGCACTTCGTCTATGAAAAGAACTCCAGGCACCAGTTCAGCGATTCCCTGATCTATATACTTGTTCACGGCCTTATTAACCTCTCTTCTAAGTTTATCAGTAATTTCCGTTTTTTTTGGTTTCAGCAACTGACCCATCATGGACATTATATCTTGACCGCCCTAAGAAAATAGAATTAAAACATGCTCCAAGAGAAGTATTACAAGAGTCTTGACAACAGGAAAAGGATTCGCACCTGCGGCCGTGCATTCGCGACATCCAAGTCGTGTAAAGTAATATCTTGTACAATTTCTTTTTTCTTGTGGACTTCCCCTTTTGGTAATGGCACGTACTCTTCGGCTTCAAGATCAAATTCCGTGGCGTATGCATCTGATCTACCTACACGCTGTTGACGCGACCCGTGTTTTTGTTTGTCTTTTCAGTTGCAGTTCCAATACAGGACACTAGTTGACGTAGACTGTAAACATACCTTCACTGCACCAGTATTGGCCTCGATATAAATAACGTCTCCAACAGTAACTCGCTCTTTCATAAGACTTTCGTATATACTTGGATCTAATTTTAACTGCTTTGTTCCTTTAACTGTTTTTAATCCGATTATGACATGTGATAATGTCTTCCCGTATCCTCCAAGAGGATTCTCTACTTCCTCGGGTGTCATTTCAGTAACTTCTCCTTCGTAAACCTCCTTAGTTTCTTTAATTCGTAAACCTAGAATTTTCAATAAAGAATTATATTAAAAAAAAAAAAAGCCCCAATTGCTCGTAAAATTTTTGCAGTGAATTCTATAAATGTCTCACCAATTGCTCTTCTAAAATTCTCCATAAGTACCTCGGTCTTCTTGACTTCTGAAGAGTAAACCTCACTTCCAACCATTGGACAGAAGGGAACCTTCGGACCAAGCTCCTGCGCTACTGCAAGAGCAATAGCTGTTTTTCCTGTGCCCGGACCGCCAGCGAGAAGTAACGCCCTCCCGGCCATTTTTTTTGCTTTTATCAGATCAACTATAATTCCACATGCCTATAAACGCGGAAATCAGTTGGAGACGTAGAAAAATACGGGTATGTTTAATGATTTAAAAAAAAAGTCGTTACTTCTCGTGCGGTCTCTTGTCCAACAAAGCCGTCAGCTTCTGATTGTGCAGTACCATCGTCGAGGAGGCCAAGGCCTTTTATATGTGTGTGAAGGGCTATGCGTTGTTCGCGTGCTGTGCTTTTTACTTCTTGGATCTTCATTTTTATGTAGAGTGGAAATCAATGATCAAAAATTGTTTTGAAAAATCCGGACAATTTGGGTCGAATCTGGCCAATCATTCGATTGACACGGGTTTTGAGGCTTTATGTTATTATTATATCAACTTAAACTATTAATATAACTGTTTTAATAAACGAAAACCGGGTCATTTCTGCATTCCACCCGATCAGCAATTGTTGGTTCACTTATTACCTATCTCTTCACGACCTCTATCGAAAACTCCTTGCTTCGGGATGCCTCAAGAGCAACCAAAACCTCATGATCCCTGGGCCCGTCGAGAGGCCTGGAGACATCATCCTATGTTCTCTGGACGTCAGCAGATACGGCATGCATTGCCGGGAGTTAGCTGGGGCATCGGCGCTTTTTTGATATACGTTGCGATTGATACTTTTACAAACAGAAAAAGTCATTCGACTGAAACGCATAACGTGAAATGACGGGAAACGTAACGAATCGGGAAGATGCAATGTGAAAAAACTGCAAGTATAATTTCTATGTGAGTTTTTTTGCAAATAAAGTTGTGTCCATTATTGTAGTGGTGTATATGATAGTGAAAATGTCGTATTGGCTTGATTAAAAGATTTGTATATACCAAGCAAACTTTCACACATAGTATACAAACGGTTTCTACGGCATAGATACTGACATGTGTCTTTTCAAGTTTAGGTAGCAGTAAACGGGTAATAGTAATATGACAAACGCTGGATAATAAACAGTTTGTTATAGCTGCCGTTTACTAATAACTATAGATAAAGTCTATTAGTCGAAATTGGCGAAGAAACGTTGCGCGATGGTAGTCTTTGTTATTTAACTGCTGTAATTCTATGCATTATTTTTTGTATTGGAGATAAATATATGAGCCAAAAGAACTTGGGAGGTAAAGCTATGTCGATTGATTCTAACGACCTCGTCTGGATATGCGATCTTCGTTTTCATCAGGAAGCAATGTCCATAGAATGCGGACTCCTGTTTTCATCCAACTTGCCCGAATCATACTATTTAAATGTTTAGCCTCAGTTCTTTTTCTCACTCCTCTTACTGAAAAATAAACTTTCTATGTCAACAAGGCATTAATATCCAATTTATTACTGCAAAGACGTTCCCCGTCTCAGACAATTCTGCCAATACTCGTCCTTACACGAGTTTATGAGCAATAAATATTTGACTCTAGCTGAAGATTACATAGTATTCACCTCCAAAACCTATCAATAGTTTCTTTACGTGACCCTACTAGCAGAATACGTCGCCGAGTTACTGAGATTTATTGGGTTTACCGCGTCGATGTACATGTACTGGAATAAATTTTGCCAGTCGCGATTATTTGAAACGTAATTCACTCTACGAAAATCCAACTAAACTCATAAAAAGTTTTTTTTTATCTTTGGTGAAAAATCGAGAGTTAACTAATTTCAAACATAATATTTAAAAAAAAAGCTCGAAATACCTCGAACGACTTGTAGATTGTATCTGCTGCTCTGCCATTAATAAGCGTCATTTCATTCGTCCTACATTTGTCGAAATTGTGTAGAGAACGAAGACAGTGACGTAAAGAGTAATAATAACATTGTTTTGTGCGCGTATAGCGCAAGTCTCATGAACAGTATGATATGAGGTTACACGTTTTCTACGGTAAAAGTGGTTATGTTTTGGGGATGCTTTACATAAAGAAAAAAGTTTGGTTCTTTAGCGGTAATTGATGAGTCAATTGCAGCAAATACATATGCTGTTGGAAAGGCATTTTTTAAGCTATGTACACGGAGTCTTGATGATGACAGTAAACTCATTTTAACACTCGAAAGTGAGTCGGGCAATCGTGAGTCTAAGCAAGAAGTTTATTCTGGAAATTTGGTTATGCAAAAGTGAGAGAATACGATTTGTTTCGCTTTGCGTCATACTAAAGCAGTTATGTTTAATTTTATATCAATTTGCAAACCCTACAAATAGTAACTACGGAATTTCCGATTGTACAAGTATCGAGAGTATTTTCAGACAATTAACCAAGCATGTTAACGCATTCCTATAAATATGACATGAAACACTTTGCTGTCCCGTTGATGACAGAAACATTGGATTCTGTCTTGTGCAGGTAATAGAAATGGTTTAATTTAGTTATATTTGTCACATTCCCATATGAATCTGCATTGGCGATAAGAATATTCCTAATTGATTCGTGATGATAAAATCCCCGATTCTCATCTAGCATGCGTACAGATATACGCCATCTGCTCTTGATACACAAACGCTCCATCTTTTTTTTTTGTTGCATTTTCTAAAAACGAGTCGAGTGGCCAGAGGATTTGGATTGTCATCGTATCATGATTCTCGATAAATGCAATTCCGAGCACACACAGTCATCTTTATTATCAAACCTTGATTGTAGCTTTCTGCCGAGCTTATCAATTATTTCTGGCTTGGACCGGACTAATAACTCCGCTGATGATCTTGTCTCGTTACCTGTTGTCGAAAACCTGTTGGTTGCAGAAGGTGTAATTCCGTTCACTATGAAAATGTACAAATATTGACAACTCGTAGGTGATACACACATATTATTTAAGAAGTCACTGCTCACAATTGTTGCACAACATCGTTATCAAAAAAGTAAACTCAATAAGATAGTCCCGCGTAGACACACAGCAACAGGCTGAAATTATCGTATCGTGTCACTATGGACAAAGAAAAAAGGTATCTGTGGGGCTTAGACCATTTTGTGCATAAAATATCATATTAATTAAAGCAAGTGCCCTTCCATTATTTGACGAACGTTCCTTTTCGATTTTCCTTTTCATTTTTAAACGCCAATCTGCCATATATTGTTGTTTCATACACGCGTCCT